GGATTCGAACCCGCCACCTTAGGTGTACGTGGCTGGCGCCTTAGCCAGTTGAGCTATAGGAGCCGAGCCAGGAATCTTTTTTTTTTTCCAGTTTTTGGCCAGGGCTGGGTTTGAACCTGCCACCTCCAGCATATGGGGCCGGCGCACTACCCTTTTGAGCCATAGCCGCTGCCCAGCCCTAGGAATCTAATATGGCACACATAACAGGGATAAAGTAAAAATAAGAAAATGTGTTGATGTATTTAGCCATGTTGATTAAAAAGGCAAATAATCAATAGATGCAGGAAAAGCATTTGATGGAAGTCAATGTGCCCGTTCATGATACAAAACAAAAATTTTTGTTAAAGACCCTTAACAAGCTAGGACCAGTATAGGCCCTCTTTAACCTGATAAGGGCTACAGAAATCTATAGCAAACATATTTTGATGGTGTCGGGAACAAGACACCATCACTATTGCTTCTATTTACTCCTGTATTAGGTCCTGAACAGAGCATTAAAACAAACAAAAAAGACAATTTCTAAGTTACAGCAATGTCCAGTTGCTCCTAGGTTGGCAAAGGAGAATGAACCAGGAAAGGAAACACAAGTCAGACAATTGAAAGAGTAAGATGTAAGCAGTGGCTAGAGATGACTGGTGTTCAAATGCAGTGTGGGGAGCTGAGGGCCAGCCCCCCAGGCTCTGGGAGTCAGAGCAGGGTTAAGAGACAGTATGATTGGGAGCTGACCATGTGGGTGTCAGATCTGAGAAAGTAGGGTGCTAGTAGGGGTAGTGATGTGGTGCTCATATCCCTGCAAACCCATCTTTTCCCTAGGGACAGCTTCCTGCACAGCAAAGCCTCCACTAGAAACATATACACTCATTGGTACAAAAAGCACCAGCCTTTATTAAACGAAAAGGAGGTAGAAGACAGACAAAGGGACAGGCCGGGCCATGCTGCCCCTCCTTCCCCTACACATTCATAGATGTACAAACACAGATAAGAACTAGTGAAAGACAGGGACCATCACGGGACAGACTGAAGGGCAGAGGGAGGTAGTACCCTCCGAGAGTGGGCCCGGACCCAAGGGTGGGCTGAGACCTGAGCCAGGGGCAGCCGTTCTGAGGGGTTATGCTTGAGTAGCTTGGAGATGAGGTCCTGAGCTCCTGTAGGCACAGAAGGGGGAAACTTCAGGTCCACCTGCAGTTGTGGAGAAAGGAAAAGGACCATGTTTCACCTGGCTACATTTTCTTAGATCACCCATTCTACTTGGAGTTACGCAGGAAGAAAAGCTCTGCCCACCCCATGCCCTGCTTCTGGCACAAAGCCCCAGGTAGCTCCCACCTTCACGATGCGCCGGTAGGTCTCATTGTGTGATGCACTCTCGAAGGGTGGGTTCCCCACCAGCAGCTCGTAGCAGAGTACTCCAATGCACCACAGATCCACCTTTTCATTGTGCATGCGCCCCTCAATCATCTCTGGGGGCAGGTAGTCTAGGGTGCCACACATTGTCTTCCTCCT